AGAAATAAACCAAATGCTTTAGAGCAAAATGAAAGTTTGGAACTTTGCCTAACCCACAGCTAAACTAGCAGGTAAATTCTGCATACACTTGTAACTCATGCAGTTTCCATTCCTATTCTTGGGGCCTACATGCACAGAATGAAACAGACATGACATTACTAGCAAAGCCTGCTATGCACCACTGTGCCTGCACAAAATCTGTTTTTAACTCATCTCCCGGGGGGGGGGGGGGAATTCTTCAAACAGATTGTCAGTTTCAAGCACATATCTGCAAACCTTAGAATTTATTAATAAAGCCTGAAAGCAACACTTTTGCTCTTCCAGTGAGTCAGGAAGTTTCAGCCCTTAAAGGTGAATATCTAAGGAAAATACACAATTGGAAAAGGCTCATTAGCAGAATACAGACCCCTAGGAAAACTGGATGCATGCTTAAAGAATAACACTCAATTAAAACACAGCTGATATGATATGAAAGGTTAAGTGTCTCTGTTTATGGAGAAAATGTCTTTAAAAAGTAACTAGTGTACAGGGAACAGTTATTTCTAAAGAGCATTGGTATACTGTAGCACACACAGTAGAGGGTAAATCCCCAGGAAAGTTGCAATTCTGTTGCCAAGCACACACCACCAGAAAGCCAAATTTCCAAAACTCACAGGGAAACCTTTGCTTCTTATCTCTTCAGAGGAGCACAAATAAGTAGCTCACATGTTGGTTAAAGAAACATGTTGTTAATACCTTATATTATGGCTAAGGACCCCTAAACATGGCAACTAGCTTTACCCAAAGGTGACAATAACACTTCCAGGTTTTTCTGCCCACTCTGTACTGGAAACTGGTTAAGCCACTCCAGGTAACATTTCCCTCAATACAAACCATCTTATTTGAAAAAAGAAGGGACAGTGTCAGTACACCACCATAAACCATCACATTTAAGAGTGTTTATATCCTATACAATTGCTCATGCAACAATCACAACTTCTTATGGCACATAAGGCGGCCATGGAAGTGGCTCAGGATGCAGGATGAGGCCATCATTTGAGTAATTAATGAGACAAGTCAGCAGTATTATAGCTAATTATCACGTTCCAGGCTGCCTTTAGATGTCAAGATTAGCATTCCATTTACAGGAGTGACAGCAGTTCACTTGCTTTTTAAAAATAACCACCAGCTGCTTGCAGACTCTGGAAGTCATCAGACACACCTTTGGAAAGATTTTCTTTAAAGTCATCATGGTTCAGTGTTTTAAAGATTCCATTAAAATTCAGAGAAATGTAAATACTCCATCTCCCATAAAATGCATTTATTGCTCAAACAGGCAAGCCCTCAGCGCAAAACTAAATCCCATCTTTGCCTACTTGATCTTGCAGGAATAACACTACTCTGTCAAAAGCACCGTCACTGGAGTCCCTGCAGCATCCCCCTGGGACGTCAACACTAGGATATAACAGCAGGAGACAAAATCCACACATGCAATTAAAATGTTACTACCCAAATAACAGACAAATTGCATGCTCAGAGCAAAGGTCAGGGAGGAGGCAGCAGGAGGTTGCCTTAGGAAGTTTCAACTGTTCTTAGCTTTGGATTGTCCTACCCACTCAAAAAAAGAAGAATTTCTTTTTAATGGATCTAAGCAGTGCTCCTTCAAATATCATTTAACCTCCTAGGGTATGAGTCCTGCAGTACCTTTTCAGGTGTGTCCGGTCCCCGCTGTCAGAGCTTGCTACAGAAGATGTGTCATAGGAGTGTGTATCTGTGTTATCAATGTTCAAGAGAAAGGGATCCTCCAAAATGAAAGACTCCTCTTCATCATCAGTCTGAAGAAAGAGAATCTCCACAGCTTACTAAATGTTCAAAATGCACAACACCCTAACTAAAACATTAGCAAAATAGCATCAATTAAGCAGAAAAATCAAGAAGGAGAGGACAAGACAGTCTCATACGTAAAAACCAGAAATACGTATTATTTTACTAGACAGATTCTGTGGAAGAACTGGTTTCCAGAATTCACAACAATCACAGAAGTGGGCTGGAGAGAAAGTTATTCAACTAATCCTTCTTCCCCAGCTATTATCTACTCCATCAAAACTTCAACAGACCTTTGACTAAGCTGTTCTCAAAATTCTCCAATTGCCGAGAGAAGGCCTAGACTCCAGCACTTCACCACGTGGTGGCTAAGAGTCTAGTAGTCCCTCCGGCTGCTACAAGGGTTGATTTTGCTCTTGTCTGTGCTATTCTGCTGGTGATATCTCTCTCTTCTCAAGCTTAGCCCTGAATTTTTTTTTATTATTTTATATTTTATTTTATAATATTTTAGGTTTTGTTTAAACAGCCATTCTCCCTGACATCTTCTAAATTCAGTACAGTTCATGTTGCTCTCGAAGCTCAGAGCCAGAGAGAACAAACACAATATCCCAATTAATGCCAAAGATGGTCCTCATTTGTCTTACAGCTGGCAGACCTGTGCCCATTAAGTATCTCTTTTTCCAGTGGAGCTGTATACCCTTCTGGTTCAGTCAGGTTGTTTTCCACTAAAATCCTTTTCAGAAGATGCTTTGCAAGTCATTCCTATCCCATATATACTGAGATAAATAGCACTGAAGTAAGACTTTGTATTTGTCTGCATTGAACTACACTTTCTTCATGATTACCTCTCAAGTTTAAGACTTGGATTCTACTCTGACATGGATGTGACTGCATCTCCTTACAATTTGGTATCAACCCAAATTTAGTTAAGTTCCCTCTGCCTTCATCACCCAAGGCATCAGCAGAAACAGGACATATGTCTGTACGCTACCCCTTCTACTATTCCTCTTGTTCCTAGACTGTATCTGCTTGGGGCACCTTATACCTGTATCTTTAATACAGCTTTTTAAAAGAACTGTCACCTCTCCCAGGCTCCTCTTCCCTCTATACCAACTTCCTAGGCAGTCCAACCACCAATTTCCTCAGTTCGTTAACAAGCTTCATTTCTTGAATTTTATCTTTACTTCCATGCCCTTCTTTTCCTTCTAAGAACCATGCACTCATGTGGCTATTGTAAAAAATGCTCTGAATTGGATACAAGCAAGACAGTCGGTTCTGCCCTGCAAGGTACTACAGGCAACATCAGATGTTGAGACAGTTCATTACTCCTGCCATAGGGCTAAATACATGAAACATACAAAATAAATGGAGCTGTGAAAAATCTAGTTCTCATCTCCTCCCACAACTTAAGAACTACCTGGAATTTTCTGCATTTATTTTTAGTTTTAAAACAAACAAAAAACCCACAACCGAAAAAAACAACCAAAACCATTGACGACCCTGACCTTTAATAGACTATATAGTTAGTCTTCAGGTGACTGTCCAAATCCACAGGTGAACATGCTTAAACTTGATGGAAATCCTTTGTTTCAGCTGTGGATATTTCGATTGAAAAAACAAAATTCCATACTACACACTATACAGCAATTACTCAACCAAGCATGTACTTTGTCAGCTATCAGTATCAGGAAATTATAAAGTTATACAATTTTATTTCCCAGGAAAAACACAATATGAGAAGAACCAAAGGAGTATGGACTGCCTCGTCTTAGTTTCCGCCTGTCTTAGAGCATGTCCAACGGACCACTCACCTCATTTAAGATGCTCTCCAGTGTTGGAGGGGTATCAACTTGAGGAATGTCGAATTCTTTGTCATCAATCTGTACATCAGAAACCACAGACTGAGTTTAGGTTGCCTATTCCACCTTCCAAACTTTTTCCCAACTAAAGAAAAAAAAAGCAGCTATGCATGCACTCTTTCCAACATACCTCTGCCCAGAAAGGCACCACGTATACTACAATTTCTCCTATTCAAAATGCATTCTCTGAAATTTGGCATTGCAAGACAGAACAAGAGATATTTAGTATCAAAAATAGTTCTCTGACCTATGCCCAGATCTGAAATTTCAAATGCCTTTTTTTCTTTGTTATTTCTAAAGATCACTAACAGTGTTACACTGCCTTTCTAATACAGACAGACATCAGTACACAACATTTTTTTTCTGACTGCTTACTAATGGGAAAAAACGTCGTTTTCTTTAAAATAAAGATGCTTTTATCTGAGACTTGCATTACCAAAAATCAAGCACAACTATTATAGGAAGGCTAGCCCCAGCACCTCTGTCCTACTCACCTACGAAACTACTACTGTTCTGTCCCCACACCTCCTCGGTGGCCACGGAGTTAAAACCGGCTGACTACACGACTAAGGTCTGACGCAGGATTGTTTTAGACTCTTGACTGCCTGCTCCTCTAGCAAGTGTATAGTACAAGCGTGCCTGTTACCTGCATTTTGCCCCCCAGCAAGAACCGCGTCCCTGCGAGTTCTTAGGGGAGACTCAACCACGGTGAAAGTTACCCCCGTTTTCAGCGTCAGGCAGAGCACCGGCGGGACCAACGCCAGCGACCGAAACGGCTGATCAGCGGCGGGGTCTCGCCACGCCACCCGCCCCACGGACCTTCCCTCACGGCTGCCTGAGGGGGCCTGCGCCCTCCCCCCCCGCCG